TTTCTTATTCCATTTCTGTGAAGGACTTCCCCATTGGAGGCATTTCTGAGTTGTTCACCTCTCTTTTGTAGACTTAAGCCTGCCTTTCTGAAGGCTCGGTTAGCCACACAGTATCACCTTCCTTTGTGCTCACAGACTCCGAGATGATAATTCTACATCTCTCTATTGATCAGTATTTGTCTTTATTTTCACTTCTCCACTTGTTTCTTTTTCTTCATTGTAAGTCCTTGAATTTTAGTTTATAATAGCAATTTTCCTTTATGCTTCTGAAAGCCAAACTTGACTGATGAAGAGAAGAACATAGATGAAATTTAAAGAAACTGCTTATGAATATGAATAAATTACTTAGCAACATGTCTAGCCCATAGTTAACTCCCATTAGATGAAAGGTATTATTATTAGTTTCTTATCTAATTTAATTCAATACACGTTTTTTTCAAATGCTTGCTTGATGCTAAACATTTTGTACTGGAGATACGAAAATTAATGTCACGATCTCTTTCCTTGAGAAACTCAAAAACCAGGGCAAAAGACAGGCATCTAAACTAACAACTGAAAACAATGTGATCACTTTAATCAGGAATTGTTGGAAAGAATGGTGAAAGATGATGCAAGAAAAATCAGAGAGGTCTTCTGTGTTTAGAATCGACTAGACCCTGTTTCTAAACCCTTTACAGATGCTAATTTAGAGCGATTGTATGAAGCAACAGCTGTATCCTCCTCCTCACATTAAGGAAAATGAGGTGAGAGAAGAGAGGTTAGGCAGTGCCTGGCTAAGGGTGGCAAAGTGGGATTTGGGTCTAGGAGTTCTGGCACTCAGAGTCGGGTCCTGGACCCCTCTCCTGCTTCTGGCAGGGTTTAAGAGGTGGGATAGAGCAGGGGGTCGTTCTGGGAAGGAGGGGACAGGCTGTTTTCCTCCAGGAAGCCAGAAAACACATGAGGTCTTCACGAAAGCCCAGTTAGGCATGGTGGGCCACAGCCAGTCCTGCGAGGAGTGGGGTGACATTTGTTGCCCTAATCTGAGGGCAGATCCCTGACCCGCCCTGTGTCAGGGATGCGCATGTGGGCACTGAACCCTCCGGAATCCAGGAGGGTGGGATTTGCTCCTGAGCATCCCATTCCAAGTGGCTGTCAGGACCTGTGCTGCCTCGCACAGCCTACTCCAGGGTCCCAGGAACAGGGCTGTGGAAGTGAGAACAGCGTCTGCTCCACCACCCCAGCCTGAGACCTCAGGGCAGCCTCCTCTGGTCTAAGGCTTGGGCCATCTGGAGATGTGATTACCACCAGTGCAAATGGCTTTTCTCTCCTGGATGTTCTGGTATCTCTCATCTGTTCCTGTTTTAAATCAAACCACGAGTCTAACAGTATCCTGAGAGAATGATTCCAGGGATTCGTGTGTGCGTACGTGCTCCTGACAGCGCAGCAAGAGATGATCACGGAGCAGGGGGGGATGAAAGAAAGGAGTGTCTGCACCTTGCCCAGGACCTGCGTCTGCCAAGAAGCCCGTGTGCCTGCCTCCACGTTCCTCTCCTCCCTTCATCCCATGGGAGGGGCTTCTTGTGCCCCAAGCAGATGCTTCCTAAGTGTGTTCAAGCCTGAGACAGTCAGGCTGGGGGAGGCTGTCATCTGTAACCAGATTCACCCGCCCGTCACGGCTATAATGGGCTTTCAGCGTCCAGATGGCTGCCCCCTGGGCCAGCTTGCTTCTGGCTGAGGATGCAGTGTAGCACGTAGCCACTGGGGGTGTGGGCTTGGTCCTCTGGGAAATCTGAAAAAGGGCAGGATTTAAGGGAGTGTTTATGCCACACTCTCCATGTGTCTGGGATACTTTTTTCCATCGCCCTACTCCCAGGACCCCCACCTCTGACCCTAGTGTGCAAAGACCAAAGCCAAAACAAGACATCTAACTTCTCAGCCTCTGATCTCTGCTTTCCTATCTGTGACGGCAAAGCCCAGGGGATTTTCTTGGGGAAAACTTAAGAAACTTCCAGTTAAATTTAGTCAGCAGCAAATGTGCTCTAAGTCTGATGTCAGTATATCCACAGAAATGTACTTTGTTACCACCAACAACCTAAAAGATCAGATTTACCTCCTGTTGACTGCGGAGGTCTTGATTATGTCTTGGAACTCACCAGTAACAAGAAGTCAGTGACAGGCAGGTACCTGTATAATTGACATCATAAACTAATTTTTGACATTGATTTTCAGGAATATACTCCTGTGTGGACCCAGCGATTTTTAGAGTTGAACATACTTTAGAGATCATCTAGTATTTCTGTCCTGCTTACCTCATTTTCTAGATGAGGACCTGAGAGGCAGAGGTAATAACAGAACTTGCCCAAAGTCACAAAGTTAGTTAGAAGCAGAACTAGAGACCAAATCCAGATTTACCAGCCTGTAGTATAGAGTTTTTTTATTTTTTTTAAACTAAAGTGCATCTACACTTATATTTTAACCTCCAGCTGCTGCGATAGATTAATTTGTAACAGAGTGAGGGCCTGCTGTAGCAGACACACAGTGGTCACTGGCAGAGAAAAATATGCAGTTAAAATCAGAAATAATTTTGAATGTCTGTTCACTCAACAAAACCATATTGAATATCTGTTACATACAGTACCATCTACATTGGTCAGCCTGGATGTGCAACCTGGTCACCTTGTCCTGGTATGAGCCAAGTCTAGTTTTCAAACAGAATCTGAATCACGGACCTGCTTCTGTTTTTGTTTTTAAACTGAAAAGGCCTACGTCTTGTTATCATACAGTATTGGATTTGCCCCATCTCTAAGTTCTCGGTTCCTGTTATTGGGTCAGCCAGTGCCTGTGCTCCCATCATCGTTAGGCTTCCTGCAATGTTGCGTATCGTCTAGACTCCTGGTCTTATTTCTGATTGGTACTGCATTGCTTCTTGCACTCTTTGATGCTATTTTACTCGCTTTGGTGTTTCCTTTATGCCTTTCATTTCCAGATCAGGCATTTTGTCTCCACACTCATCCCAGGACTCTTTGCTGCATGATGCTTATACCTGCCACACTCCCAGACCCAGTATCTCTTGGAATCTTTATCTTGCTGCTACCTAAGGCAGAGTATATCTCTTTCTTTTTTTGAATGAATGAAATATAGTTAACTTACAATGTTGTATTAGCTTCAAGTGTGTGTCTGTGTCATTCAGAGCTTGAAGTATGCAGACAAGTTATTCAGTTATATAGATTCCTACTCAGATTCTTTTCCATTATAGTGTACCCCTTTCTTGAGGATATAAACCGTGGACTGGACTGCCTCTGACAGAGCTTTAAGATATGCCTAGAAATAAACAACCAAGAGTCATTTTTAGCCTGAGCTACCTAAAAGTTGAAATTAAGTGACTGAGAAAGTTTTTGGTTCTAAAACAATGAAATAGGGTGAGTCGATGGAAGAAGAATTAAATAATAATAAGAAAGTCACTGAATCATACTTAAAACTTTTAAACTTTGCTCCAAAATATCACTTTAAATTAAAATGTTAAAATGTCACTTTGATAATATCACATTTAAAATATTTGTTGATATTTATGTTGTTCAATAAATGTGCTTTATTTTTTAAAAAGGAGTGGCAAATTCATGGTAAAATGTCTTTTGCGTTTGAGCACAGGGTCCCCCATGGACTCAGTAAATGAGAATAAGACATTGAACACCTGGCCGCGGCACCAGCTTATACCTGGCGGCAGGTAGAAATTCTACCTACATCTTTGCTATCAACCTTTGAAAGGTGAGTGACTCCTTCAGGGTTTACTCTTCAAAACTGAAGTGGCAACAAATGCCAGGTACAAGAAATGATCAGAGACCTAAAGAGGGATTAGGTCTTTGCTCTTGGCGCAGTGGTTCCTAAACTTTGTTGCACATTAGTATCACCTGGGTGCTAGAAATCCCAGTCACACACCCAGTGCCATTAAATCAGAATATCCGTGGGGGTGGGAAGCAGGCATCCATATTATTATTATTACTTTAGTGTTTATCATAACACCCAGAGGGCTTGTTAAAGTACAGGTTGCTGGGTCTCACCCTCAGTGCTTCTAATGCAGTAGATTTGAGGTAAGGTTCAGAAAATGCCTTTCTGATGAGTTCCCAGATGATACTGGTGCTGATCTGGGGGCCACACTTTGAGGACCATTGGGCTGGCTCTGTATATCAAAAGCAATGGCTCATCATTTCTAACCTTGATGTCATCAGCAGTTGATGAATGAACCCTGCCATGAACTGATATTTATCCTTATACCCTTTCCATGCTAAATCTTTTTTCAGAAAAATGACTGGTCATACCTCTTAACCTGTTTTCTCTCTATAATGCAGTAACAAATATACAAACCTCCTAAAGGAAAAAAAAAATTACATTCCACATCTCAGAGCTCAGCTTTCCTGTCTCATGTATATTTTCCCCCAGAGGCAAGAGATCTGTCAAGCAACAGTATCAGAGACTGGTGCTTCTAACATTCAGGTTATTGCCCTGTAGATAACAATGATGCATTTGTGCTGAGGAAAATGCCCCGATTTTGTAAATCTAAATGTCTTGCTGTGTTTTCAGGAATCTTGAGCTCTTTTTCCGGAGGGTTTATGGCTGGGCTATCCCTTGGTGGGAGCTGTTTTCCTCTTTTCCTGGTGGAGGGAGACACCCATCAGACTCTAATGGAAGTTTAGCCACAACAGTTACCTTCTGGTGCCTGAACAGCTGGGGGAAGGATTCCAGGCCAGCTGGACCTTTGTGTTTCTATTTTGGTATTTCTTATAAAAAGACTGTGTTGGACTGATGGTATCCTTCTTCTAATCACAGCCTGCTGGAGAAAGAAATAATCCAAAAATTTGTGTTATTTTTCCAACAGGCCAGAGCTGAATTCTACTAGACAGTTTGCTTTCCAAAACAGAAGAGTTTCTGAAACCAGTCGGCAGCTTGGGCAAGTTAACTGTCTAATGAATTGAGTATTGATTAGGAATTTGCAGAGTTGAGGGGTTGTCGGGTCTTCACGCTTTATGAAGCCCATCATTGTGGTGTTCAGTCTTCTCAGATCTGATCTTTCAGACCCCAAGGAAACAGTGAGCGGGGAACTAAGTGGCCAAGGGAGATGGCTGAGCTCTCTGGCCCCTGATCCAAGCAGGTTGATCCTGCCTGATTGGTCAGAACCTTGTTGCTCTCATCTAGCTAGGAGGAAGGTAGGGGTCTGCAAGGCTCACCAATTTGCAGAGCCTCACCGAGCTCCTGACAGAGCAGGCAAAGGGCTTACTGGTGCAGATTTCATGCTGAGATTTATGAAGCCTGTGAGATTTGGTCCTAGTCCTGCTTCCAAAACCAGAATCAAGAGACTTCCTTGACACCCAGCAGTTAAGACTCTTCCAATGCAGGAGGTTCAGGTTCCATCCCCGGTCGGGGAGCTAAGATCCCACATGCCTCATGGCCCCAGCACCAAAACATAAAACGGAAACAATATTGTAATAAGTTCAACAAAGACTTTAAAATAAACATGGTTCACATCAAAAATAATCAAAATCATGGACAAACCACGAGGTCCAGTTGTGCTAAAGAGGGGCTGGTGACCTGACTTGATTCAGTGCAGTCAGAGGAAGTAGCACACTTTCATTTCACAAATGTTGACCCCTGACTTCTATGCATCTGCCACACACTCAGCAGTGAAATTACAGCAGTTTTATGCTTGACCTCGAGAGGCTCATAGCCTCCAATTAGTACCATGTTTATCTCTGTGATGAAAACAAATTTCAGAAAAAAAATTTAAAACTAAAAGAGGAGATTTCTATTTGGAGAAAAAAACTATCATATTATTTACTGTGTTGTAATGACTGGTGCATTCATCCTTTCCTTCCACAAACATTTAGTCTGTACCTAATGTATTTCAACACTATGTGGAGCTCTGGGGACTAAGAGATGAATAAGATGCATTTTCTACTCTTGAGAGGGTTCACAGTCCCACACTGTGGACCCCCTCACAGGGTGAAATGTATGACCACAACCTCTTTTGGACTATTAGGATGTTACTTGCTTTATAAATGGAATTTAGAAACTTTTTTTTTTTTTTTGAGTGGGGGCCACGTCTAAAGGGAAGAGGAACTATATAGGTCAGTTATAACCAATGTCTATTCTGTTTCTCCCAGCTACTAGGAGTGTTTCCACTCCTTCAACTGATAACTTGCTACCTGAGTCACAAGTCTGGTCTGTAGGAAATGAAAGAGTGGCCAAAACTACAGAAAAAGTAGGCATTGCACACGGTCTCTTTACTTCATCAAAAACCCTCAGTACAATTATATAAAAGGAATAATATATAAACATTGAGATAGTACCATTAAAGACCACACGAAGGAGGTTGAGGAATTCTTTGTCTCTGGATAATCAATAATAATATTTACTTCTTGGAGTGAGTGGGAACAAAGGAAATGAGATGGTTTGGTTTGAGTGTTAATTCTTTTAGGAGAGCACAAGATTCCTTTGAAACCTCTCCATCTGTCCCATCCTATAGGGATGGCTGCCTTTATTCACAAACATTTTCAGATGGAGATGTCCTGTATAAGCAAACATGACAAGAGCCTAAACACAGATGAGGGAGCCCTGGGGAATCAAATGAGAGGACATATTGTCTTGAGCCAATTGTATTTTTTAGAATAGGAGGTGGCCGCTTCCTAGATAGTATGGCTGAAGAAATTACCTCCCAAAGTTCACTTGGATTAAATTCATTTTGTGTTGGAAAAACTATTCCCTTGCTCAAAATGTTTCTAAGGCTTTATGTAGCTTATTGACTTAATACATCTTACTGTGGTATTCTTAGCCCACTCTTTCATCAAAGCCTTCCTGAACAATATTTTCTCTCATAGCTTCCAACTGCACAACAAAACTAGGCCATCTATGGTTCTCTGATCTGTTTCCCATTATCATTGTTCTCATGGAGCCTTGAAGCAATGGAATCCTGAAGGGCTAGTTTTTGGAATTTAGTAGTACATAAAACACTGTCTTGTAATCATGATTTCATACATGCACAGTATCTGTTATAAGGTGAAGTGTAGTTGCTCAGTCATGTCTGACTCTTTGTGACCCCATGGACTGTAGCCCACCAGGCTCCTCCATCCATGGAATTTTCTAAGCAAGAGTACTGGAGAGGGTTGCCATTTCCTTCTCCAGGGGATCTTCCCAACCCAGGGATCGAACCTGGGTCTCCCGCATTGCGGGCTGACACCTTATCATCTGAGCCACCAAGGTTATAAGGTAACCACCAGGTTATTAGGTAACCACCAGGTTATAAGGTAACCACAGATAAAATGTAAGGACCTTGGCATGTTGGGATCATGGAACCTGAACATACTCTTGTGATGGAAGAATGGAGTTTTCCCTAAAGGTAATTGATGGCCAGTTATCCTGACAATGGGTTGGAGCTCACTACATAATCTGCAGACTCAGTGCAAAATGAAAATGTGGGCCCTGGCCAGGGCTGGGGAAATCATTATCCCCTTTCCATGGCCCATTTCCCCAGACCTGGTGGACAGGCAAATGCTGAGGGGTTGCAAACTCTGTGCAATGGCCAGAACTCCATCCCCAACATCCAACCTCCTGCCAGTCACTCCCAGTAACCGCCGCTGCCCGCCCCCCCCCCCCCTCCACCGCTGCCCCCCATGGCTCTTTGGTGCTAATGGTCCAGGTGTGGATGCATGGCTGCTGCCTTGCCCCAGCCCAGACAAGCATTCCGCCCATCTTTAGTTCATGCTCAGGACCTTCTGGGGCAAAATTCAGCTGCAGTAATGAGGCCTCCCCCTTGCCTGATCACCCTGTGCAGAGGATGGTGGGAGTAACAGGGTTGGAGTGAGAAACGGGTGACTGGGAATCTGTCCTATGGAGGTGGGAAGGTGAGATGGTTATCAGCTGGGCCAGAGTCCCAAACTACCAGCACATACTCACTGTCCTGTGACAGTTCACTTAGGATCGGTCCTGTGTGCCTACACCAATCACATGCCCGTGCAGCCAGCCCTGGCAGGGGTTGGTCCTGGGACAGAAATAGCCAGGCTGGGTGTCCTCCCAGCTCTGGGCCAGAGCCACGTAAGATCTGGACCCCAGGAGACTGGGAAGTGTATGATGGCTCTCACTGTGTGTTAGGCTGACAAGGAGAGAGACAGGCTGACTCTGCAGAGACCCTCAAGCAGGTCTCACCATGGGCTGTGATAGTTAAGGGAGGCCAGACTGTGCTTGGGATGGTGGGAGTGGTGGAGTGGCTGAGGGCTGGGCAGTACTGGTCCAGAGAGGCTGCCAGCAGGGGGTGGCAGAGTGTCTCCACATTTGGGCAGTTGTTCTTGGAGCAATGGCCGTGCAGAGAAAGCTTGTCTTAGCATCCAGGAGAGCTATTGTTGCCTATTACCACTCTGGCTTCCTTGGTGACTTAGACAGTAAAGAATCTGCCTATAACGAAGGAGACCCGCGTTCAAGCCCTGGGTTCGAGCCCTGGGTTGGGAAGTTACCCTGGAAAAGGAAATGGCAACCCACTCCAGTATTCTTGCCTGGAGAATTCTAGGGACAGTGGAGCCTGGTGGGCTACAGTCCATGGGGTCACAAAGAGTCGGACATGCCTGAGTGACTGACACCGCTCCCAGTTCAGTTCAGTTCAGTTCAGTCGCTCAGCCATGTCCAACTCTCTGCGACCCCATGAATTGCAGTACACCAGGCCTCCCTGTCCATCACCAACTCCCGGAGTTCACTCAAACTCATGCCCATCGAGTCGGTGATGCCATCCAACCATCTCATCCTCTGTCGTCCCCTTCTCCTCCTGCCCCCAATCCCTCCCAAGGATTATACAAATATGTTGACTTCATGCTAGAGCTGGGAGAGGCGCTAGGAATGATATTTGTTAATACATGCCATGAAGCACACAGGGAGATTTGGGAACCTATTAGGGAAAGGGAGCCCTGGGGAGAGACTGGGCTTCTTGTGAATCTTGGCATAACTCTTAGGAGTGCTTATTGTATGCCAGGCGCTGTTTGAAGAACACTTAATGCATTCCTTCAGTCCGATGGGATTGGACTGCTGTTCTCCACGTTTTACCAATGGGCCACGCCAGCTGTAGAAAAGAAACTTTCCCAAAGGCCACACAGCTGTTAAGCGGTGAAATGAGGCTCTGGTTCTGGCATGCTGGCTCCAAAGCCTGCACTCTTTACTGCTCTCCTGTTGGGCCCTCTGACTGCTGAGCACTGGGCTAGATGCTTCACAAACACATTAGGGATTGTACTGTGATGTATGGATTTGGGATCCCATCGTTTCAGCCCAAAAAGGTAAAATTGAATCTTTTTTTTTTAAAGCTATTTGATTAGCTAGCATAATTGCCAATTTTGATTAATATATTTTTGTTTAGCTGCTAAGTTGTGTCCATCTCTTTGTGTCCCCATGGATTGTAGATGCATCTATTGGTTATATATTTGTCGTTTACAGGGGTTTTCACATACCTGATATCACTTTATCTTTCCAATTATCCGTGGGAGAGATAAGGCAGGGTTACTATGAAACCTTGGCTCTGCCGTGTACGCTGTGTGGCAGTGGGGAGGTTGGTTGACCTGTTTGAGAATCTGTTTCCTTAAGTTTGCCTCCTTGTTGAAGGTCAGTATGCTATTTTTATTGCATTTCTGAAATTCAGTGGGAAGAAGCAAGTTTACTCTTACAGGTCCACTTATAAGATCCAGAGCGGGCAAAATTGCTCTGTTCCAAACTGTTGCTGCAATTCCATAATATTTCTAAAGGTTTTCCCTATTGTTCTTGTCTTGCCTTTTGGGGGACACCTTAGAGCTACTACTGCTCACCTTGTCAATTAATTGTCTTAAAGCTTCTGGGTTGTAATGGTGAGACCAGGGAGTGGAGAGCATAATATTGAGTTTTTAGTGTGGTTTCAGTGTTACATGATACTATTACAGGAAATAATAAGTATGGGTTAAGTATGGGTTTATCGACCACATCAAATGTATTTCTGCTTTCTCCATGTCCAAAATTCAGGCTGTTTTTCTTCTTCATGCTTAATTACAAGTGTTTTTAATTAGATGAATCCAATAATGGCCAATTAAGTTTCAATTTATAGGTCACGTACAAACACTGGCAGCCCCAGCATAACTTAGACTCTGCAAAGTGACCTGGGTCTGGGTTTCCATCTGCTTAACGTTGCTCTGCCCATTAAAGGAAGCGAATGCTTCCCTAATTGATTGCTTTGGGAGAGGAGCCAAGATGTACCCTTCCCTCAGCAGCCTGTACTTTCACAACTGTGATTGGAACGACTGGCCAGGGGAGAAGGCACATGGGGTGTAAGGAGAGGAAGGTCTGGGTGCTACGAAGAGAGGAGGGA